TGCCGCAGCCCCGCCACAGCCACAGCCCCACCCCTGCCGCAGCGCGGCCTGCCCACCTGCGTCTTGTAGATGGTGTAACCCTCCTTCTCGTGCTGCAGGGCCGACCGGAACTCAGCTTTGCTCTCGTAGACGCGGGCGACAAGGTGGTGGCTGCCGGGAGGCGCCGGGGCGAGGGAAGGGCATAAGAGGGCTGGGCGTGGGGGCCTGACTCGGGGGCCGGGGGTCTCCTCTAGATCCCTCCCTGGAAGCCACCGAGGGGAAGATCAAGTCCAGGCTCAGCAAAGAGGGGGAGGTGGAGAGAAATTTTCTCGGGTGTCCGAGGAAGCCAGAGCACTGGGCCTCTCCCATGCCCCACCGGACGCCCCCACCGGCCTCTGTGGCCCTTGGAGTTTGGGCGAGCGGCCGCCTCACCTGAGGGCCACCTTGAGGGCCTTGGGCCCGTGGTACTTGGTGCTGACGGCCAGCGCGTTCTCCAGGAAGCGCAGCGACAGGTCGTACTCCATCACCCCGTGCAGCACCAGCCCGATGTTGTTCTGGGGGCAGGCGGGGGGGCCCTGGTCAGCTCCCGGTCCCCTGGGACGGAGGTGGGTCCCTGCTGCCCCCCTGCCCTGGCACTCACGTCCAGCAGCGCCATCTCGGGGTGGTCTTCCCCGAACACCAGCAGCATGAGGTAGCGGGCGCGGTACAGCAGGCTCAGCGCCGTGGACAGCTGGCTGCTGGCGAAGCAGTACAGGGCCAGGTGCATCTGCGGGCGGAGTCGAGGCAGGTCAGGGTGGCCGCGGACCCCAGCCCCTCGCGGCCCGCCCAGGCGGCACTCACATATTCCTGGATGGTGTTGGGGTGCTCGATGCCCATCACCCGCTCACTCATCAGCACTGCCTTCTGCTGGTTACTCAGGGCCTGGGGAGAGACGGTGGTGGTCGCTGTGGCGTGGGAACACCCCTGCACCCAGAGCCCGCCTGGCCCCGGCCCAGCAGCCCACACGGCACTGCTCTGCACACTCCTGTCCTCTCCAGCTGTGCTCTGGGTCTGTCCCTTGCACAAGGCAGCAGGGGGGTTAACAGCAGCCGCTGCAACACCTTGAGGCGCGGGTCACACTCCACAGAGAGCTCCACACACCCGTGGTCTTACGCCCAACATCATCTCCACAAATACCCAAATACAAACCTAAAACTACTAAAAACGTTAGAAGAAAAAAAAAGCTGAGCGGGGGCAGGTCCCTTGAGGTCAGGAATTTGACACCAGCCTGAACATGGCGAAACCCCGTCTCTACTAAAAATACAAAAATTAGCCAGGTGTAGTGGCGGACGCCTGTGGTCCCAGCTACTCTGGAGGCTGAGGTGGGAGAATCGCTTGAGCCCAGGAGGTGGAGGCTGCAGGGAGTCGGTATCACGCCACTGCACTCCAGCCTGGGTGACAGAGCAAGACACTGTCTCAAAAACCAAAAACCAAAAACACCCATTTATAAACAAAAGACAAAACAGTCCCTTTGACTGCAGGGAGCGGGGATCCTAAGACATGCGGACCCTGAAACAGCCTCCGCCGGCCCCGGCCAGGCAGGCCACCCAGAACCCCACAGCCTGCGCCAGCCCCGGCCAGGCAGGGCACCCAGAACCCCACAGCCTGCACTGGGCACAGAGGACGCGGGAGCTCGGTGGCATGCTTCCTGCCCACTCACGGAGTCTCAGTAGGCAGTCTTGCTGACACCCCGTGGGGGATCCCCTGCCATCGCCTCCCAGAACTGACCTCACCACAGCACAGGGGGCTCCTGAGCTCTCCCCAGGACACAGTTACACAAGGGTGGAGCCAGAGGTGACCTGGGCAGAATGATCAACTTCCTGGGGTCTCCCTGGACTCCACCCACTCCTCCGCCGGGGGCCCCCTCACTCCCCATCCCCCAACAAGAGGCCAGGCCTTTGCTGCCACAGCCCAGAGGGTGCCTGAGGCCCACCTCTGCGTAGTCGCCCATGATGTAATGGAGGCGGGCGAGGAGGCGCAGGCAGGCGCAAGTCTCCACGTGCATGGCTCCGTAGACGTTGTTAAACAGGTTCAGGGCCTCGTTGATGAGCTCACAGCCCTCCTTCAGGAAGCCTGCAGGACACCCCCAGGGGTGGCAAGGTCAGGACGGGGCATGGGGAGCCCCCGCCTCCACCCAGCCCCACCCGGCCACACACCCTGCTGCACTTTGGCCTGGCCGCTCTGGAAGAAATGGAAGGCATCCGAGGCCTTGGGGTTGACGTGCTTGACCACGGGGAAGATGTTGAGCACGTCCTCCTCGGTGAACGCGGGCTTGTGGCGACTGTCGAAGCTGTACTCCTTCAGCAGGACCTGGAGAGCAGCCCCCACACACAGGAAGCCTCAGCCCCAGGCTCAGAGAGTTGGCACCTCCCAACCCACCAACGCTTGCGCACAGATGGCTACTATGAAAAAGCCACCTCCCCTGTGTCCCCGGTCGGGGGTGGGAGCCTGCAGCAGAGACGCGGCGGGGACGCAGTGGGACGCAGTGGGGACGCTGAGCCGTGCCCACCTGGATCCCTGTTTTCAGCGAGATCTCCCGCAGGAGTGTTATCTTCTGCAGGCCGTAGGTCTCCACAGCCTGGTCCACAGTCTCACTGAGGAGGGAGCAGGAGGCCTGAGCAGCCCAAGCACCACTGGGCCCCCCAACACTGCCCCACCCTCCACCCAGTTCCTGGGAGCCTCCGGGCTGCCCTCACCCTCCAGCACCCAGTGATCTCCACACCTCTTCTCTCCTCCGACTCCCTGGCCTATGACCACAGGCCTTAGATGCCATCTGGGAGCCAGTGGTGGCCGCCTCATTTGCCCCACCCCAGCCGTGTCCCAGCCACGCCCTGCACGCACCACTCGAGGTGGAAGTCAAAGTAGTTCTTGGCCTCCTGGCAGATGTCCTTCCAGAGCTCCTGGGGGGTCACGACAGCCCAGGCTGTGTTATCTGCAGCCCCGGGGGGCCGGTTTTTCCTCCTCTTATTCCTCTTCTTGGAGACCAGCTCGTCGGCGGGCAGGTGGGCCACAGGGTTAGGGTAGGAGCTCAGGAAGCAGTTCAGGAAGTGGCTGATGGCGGCTGAGAGGCCGGAGAGCTCGACTCCCTGCAAGACAGGTTGGATCCAAGTCACAAGGGCCCTCAGCCCCACCTCAGGCTCTTTCCCGAGGCCCCACACCATGCTGGCAGGCCATGGCCAGCCACGGGGCGGACAGGTGGCACCTGTAAGTACGTCTTGAAGATGTGCTTGGCCGAGCGGGTGATGAGTTCTCCAATGCCGATTTTCTGGAAGGATTCAGAAGGGCGGTCTCGGTCAGGCCCCCCGCCTCCATCCCAGCCCCGCAGCTCCCGTTCCGCCCCCGCCCGAGCAGCACTCACGTAGACGTGGTCCAGCTGGTGGCGGGCCGGGCTCCGCAGCACCAGCTCCAGCACCTTGCCCAGGTAACGCATGTTGATGCCACGCTGGCGCATCACCTCAGCCAGCGTCGCCCCGTCCATGGGCAACACCGCGTGCTCCACGCAGTCCTTCACCTGCGGGCTGCAGCAGGTCAGGCCCCCCCCCCCCGGCTCCTCTGCCCCCACCCAACTGAGTCTTTCTAGGGGAGCACAGCTATCCTGGGAGCCTCTGGAGAAGGACCCCCAAGGCTCTAGCTCCCAGTCAGGATGTGGGAATGTGCCCAGCCTCTGGCAGAAGCAGAGGTGGGAGACGCAGAGGTGCCTGCTTGGGGCCACTACTTGACCCCTAGCCCCGTGTCCTGAGGCTTGGAGGCCATGGTGTTGGGGGAGCACCCAGCACCCCGGGGCCAGGCGCAGAGCCTGCGAGAGGAGGAGGATGGGCAGCCCCCACTGAGCTCCTGCCCCATCCCCCAGCCGTGTCACCACCCACGGGTCAGAAGGCTGGATCTCCAGCTGCCGGCCCACCCGGTGGGCTCAGCAGGGCCCGAGCCCCTGACCTCTGGGAGTCAGGCCCCCCATCTGTCAAACGGGGAGGCCCACTCAGGGAAAGGTGAAGAAGTCACTCCTGCAATCCTGTGTTCATGGGCCTCCAAGTCGGAGACGGATGAGGGACCAGCACCCACCACGCAAGCCCCACCTAGCCCCGCAGCCCCTCCCTCACCAAGCCAGGGATCTGGCAGGAGAGCAGGAAGGCAGCCGCGTCCTTCAGCAGCTGCTTCTGGTCCCGAACTTCATCCTGGCAGGACTCAGGGAAGCGAACCCCTGGAGAAGGGAGAGCAGAGAGGCTGAGCCAGGCGGTAGCAAGACAAATGCTGCCTGTGGCTGGTGGGGGAAGCGCTCAGATGGGGGACAAACCCACCAGCCCCAAGAGGCCCAGTCCCCCCCAGAGAAGCTCTGGTCCTGGAGGGTTCCCGCACTGGCCAGCCCCTACCACTTGCCTGGTGAGAAGATGTCAGGATTGAAGCGAATGTCGAAGGCGGTGCTGCTGATGGAGCCGACCGCCTTGCACGCGTTGCGGATCACCTCCCGGCTCCGAGGGTCTGCTGTGGAGACACGGCTCCATGAGACGCGGGTCCCCTCTGCCACTGGCGGAGCTGGGCTGCCCCACGCCTCGCCCCCTAGCTCCTCGCAGAGACGTCTGCCAGCCTCTCCCAGGTGGGGTCATAAGCCACCCTGGCAGGGCCAGCCCGGGCTCGCCCCCGGCATCTGCAGCAGCCTCACCTGTGCCGTCGTCTGCGGCGATGGTCTCTGCCAGCTCCTTCACCTTGGCCAGGCCACTGGCACTGCTCCCCTCCTCCTCACTTCCCGCCTCTGGTCCTGGAGGGTCCTCAGACTTGGACTCCAAGGAGGAAGGACCACCATTTTCCAGGGAGGAGGGGGTCTCCAGCTGGCTGGCTTTCTGCTGCAT